TGGGGATGAGAGTGTTAAAGCGTTAAGGCCGCACGGTTCTAGCATAGTTCAGGTGTAACGAAACTAGGCCCATGACAAGTATCATACATTACAATAAGGCACATGTGCACTGATTGTGAAATACACCAGGAACTATGTGATCTAACAGTAAAAAATTACACCCGACAAATTGGGGGAGTAAACGAGTTCAAATTGGTGCATCAGCAGGCGATGACACGGCTTTGACAACTAAAATGGGATCTCCCACTTTGATAGTTTTTCCCTTTCCTTGAGCGAGGGATTCAGCACATATCAAATTCTGTCCGAAATACACCTGCAAAGTGTTCCCAGTTCAAAAACACAGGTAGATAGATACGAGAAGTAACATGAAAACATTCAAATTAATACTTACTTTCTTCTGTTGTTTCTTGTTTGGAAACAAGAATTCATCAGAACGGAATTTCCTGAGCGTCTCAGTAGGCTCAGGACCTGCTACTGTAGTTTCTTGATTGATTGTGGGTACCTAATATAATGAGAAAATATTCAGCAAATGATTATTATTGTAGCATTTCAAAGATTATGGTAAACGTAGTGTTAAAATAAAGAAACTTGGCTAACTGCTGAATATCTAATCTTAACATTGTTATTGTAGCTCTCAGTTTCCTTCTTATCAGAGCTCATTTCCAGCCACGTCAGAAGCATGTTTCCTCATTGGAGTTTGCTATGAAACTCGTTGATTTAAACATAAGGCAGAAAAAAATCAGCATTACATTTGGACAATTCATACTTATAAAATTAGTCTACCTTGACCATAAGAAACAATGAATTTATTCACTGGTATTCCAATATAATGCTACTACTTAAGGCGTATATATTGTCAAAGAACAGAAGTACCAATGTTCCTCATCACTGAAAATCCACTTCCCTTTTTCTCAATATATAAGCAGTCCAAGCTCCATTTCTCGCAACTATTATCAGTGGATATTGAAACATTAAAAAATCACTTTCATAGGATACTGATACATTTAGCCCTTGTTTGAACTGATTTTCCCGACACTCATTTTCTACCACATTCTCAGAAATATCATATTCCACATTTCCCCATAACTTCTATCTACTTCTTAACCCCACGTACTCCAAAAAATCACTTATCACACACTTCTAAAAAAATTAATAACGATAAAAATTTATTGATTTTGCTACTTGTACATTAAAATTGTACATAAGAGGTTACATAATATGATGTAAAGAAAAAAGATTGGTTGAAAAAGTTGACAATGTCTTAAACGATAAAAATTTAT